AAATTTTATTCCTACATAGCTGTGTTTTCTCCCCTCCTCTCTGTTGCTGTTCTTGTTATGCAAGTTACATCTTCGTATGTTATAAGCTGGGAGTGTACACTGTTACGTACTTACTGCTTTATGCAGTTTCCTTGTAAGTCTTGTAGGACCAGAGTAGAGTTAACAACAAAAATACACATTTACACTCTGCCTTATATTTACCTATGTTTTATATTTACATTTTTAGTCTTAATCACCTCGTGTTGTCAAGCAGGATTGGTTCTAGGACCCCTTGTGGATGCCAGAAGTCCGTGGAGACCCCAAGGGGTCTCTTATATAAAATGGTGTAGTGTTTCCACATAACCCATGCACACCCTCCTGTATACTTAAATCACCTTGAGATTACTTACAATACCTAATACAATGTATATCCTATATAAATAGTTGCTGGGTGTGACCAATTCAAGTTTTTCTTTCAGGAAGTTTCTTTAAAAAAAAATTTTTTTTTTTATATTTTTGGTCAATAGTTGGTTGAATCTGCACATGTGGAACCCACAGATGTGGAAGGTTGACTGTACTTTTACTGATGTTCTTTGTATCTTCATGTGGATTTGGGTTTTTGCTTTGTGTTCTTTCATTTCAGTCTGAAAGAGTCTTATCTTATGTTTGTCTAGAAATGACTTAAATTCTCCTTCATCACCCTCCTCCGCCAAAGTCTGCGCTTTATTATATTGGTGATGTGATGTCATGCAAAGACTGAAACATCTTTGGCCCAGGGGGCATCCTCTGCTTATTTTTGAAGGATAATTTTCTTGGGTATAGAATTCTTGGTTGAAATTTCTAATTTCAGGAGTTTGAATATGTTATCCCACAGCTGCCTGGCCTCCGTTGTGTTAGATGAAAGCTCAGCCCTTCGCGTGACGAGTGGCTTCTCTGTTGTTGCTTTCAAGGTAGTCTCTTTGTCTTGTCTTTGAACTCTTTGCTTGTTGCCTGTCTAGGTTTGGGTCTCTATGTTTATCCTATTGGGGGTTTGTTGAGCTTCATGAATTTGAAAGCTTTTTGGGCATCATTTTTTCACGTGATCTTTCTGTCCTTTTTCCTTTTCCTCCTCTGGGATTCCCATCGTGCGTCTGGGGTCATAAGAAGATGCTCTCTTGGGCTCTGCATTGTTTCCCTCCTGTTTGTTGTTCTTTTCTCAGACATGACCGTGTCACTCATCTTCACCTTTGCTGCTGGTTTCTTCTCCCAGCTCCAGTCACTGTGGAGCCTTTCTAGTGAATTTTTAATTTCAGTTGTTCACTGAATGTTTAGTTTCATTTTGAGAATTTCTACGTGATCCTTACGTTTTCTATGTCTTCGTTGATGATCTCTATGTGATGAGACCTTGGTCCTTAGTGTTTCCTTTAGTTCTTTAGAGATAATTTCCTTTAGTTCTTTCAACATATTAATAGTTACTTTCAAGTGTTCACCTAGTAAATCCAAGGTCTGAGTTTCCTTTCAGGATAGTTTCTGTGACTGATTTTTCCCCGTGTATGGGCGTGATTTCTTTACACGTCTCAAAATTTTGTATTGAAACTGATCATTTAAAATGCTACATCGAGGCAGCTTTGGGATTCATCCTCTCCCCATCTCTGCAGGTTTGGTGCTGGTGTTTGTCGTTTTTGCTCTTCACGTGTATGTGCAGCGCTGTGGTCCCTTCTGGGTGGGGGAGTGTCAGCTAGTGAGGGACAAGAGTGCCACACGGTGCACCTCCCGGCCTTTGCTGGAGGCCCTGTGCCCGTGCGGCTTGCCTTCTGGACATGGAGAGGCAGCCTGCACAGCTGCTGTCCTCCATGCAGCACCTCACGGTCAGCTTGCCGCATCTGTGACTTTCCAGACTCCCAGAGTGTGTGGGCGCTTCCCAGGGTTTCCCGAGAACACTCACCCTCCAGCTTTTCCCCCTAAGTTTTTGCTCAGTTGTTTTTGCCGTCTCAGGCAGCTGCCACGGTGAACACTTGTTGCTGAGTCTTTTTGATTGTGGCCTTAGGGACCAGAATCTCACATTGAGCGTGCTCTGAGTCGGGTCAAGTAAGGACGAGCCCTGGGAGTAGGGCTAGGGATGTGCCTGATCGGCCACACAGTGACCGTCCTCTGGGCCTGGGGGTTTTTCATGGGGCTCCAGACCTGCTCGGCTCTTCCCAGGGTTTGTAAGGCTGCTGGCTTTCAGCCCGTGAGTGGGGTGGAAGTAGGGCTCCGCAGAGCGATGGGGAGCTTGCTGTTCTTATCAGGATTCAGCCCTTTTTCTTGAACAATGCTCCTTGGATTGTTTCAAGCCTTTCTTCAATTTCAGAGTTTTGGAAAACTTGATTTTGATAGATTTTGCAAGTGTTTTCTTTGCTTCTTTGGAGGAGCAGATTTTCAGAGATCCTTGTGCGTTTTTGAAGGGCTCCTCCACTGTTTACTTTCATGATTATAATATTTTTTCATCTCTTTGGAAGTATAAATGATATATTTTAAAACTTTTCATAGTCTCTTTCCTCTAAATTAGGATTTTGGGATATTTACATATTCATTTTGGCCACCTTTTTCATATTGGAAGCTTTGTTTTATATCTTACAATCTTTGGTTGCCTGCTCATGGTCAAAGGTAGCAGCCTGAAAAGCCAGTATGAAACTGAGTGTGTGGGCGGGGCTTGTTGACCATGAAATTACTAGTATTTGCTTTTAGGAAATTATTTCAAACTTTTATTATAAAATATTCAAGGAAGAGATAATTAGATCTAAATCTTATAGTAAAATAAACACCAGTTGCATTCAAGAGTTGAATACTTAAATTCACAAAAACCAGGGGGATATGGTATTGGTTATTTGTCAAACTAGTAAAGAAATTTATTTTAAATTTGAGATCTAAAAATTTAAAATAAAAAATGCAAAAAAATTGGTGGCTTCAGTAATCCTTAGTGTCTTTGATCATATTAAAACTCACCCTTTTAGACTTGTGCAAATTGAGAGGTCCCAAAAGAGGCATCTTAATTGCTGTGCTCAGAGCTGGGAGGCAGCGGCCGTGCTGAGGAGCATTCTATTGTGTTAGACTATCTAAAGCCAGGGACTGGTCTCTCGGGGTGGCAGTCTTCAAGGGGCCATGGCCTATGTATTACTGAGTGGGAGAGGCAGCTCTGAAGAGGATTGTGATGGCAGAGGGGAGGCACCTGCCAAGGGGTCTGAGTGAAGGTCAGTGTTCTCATACCTGGGTGTTGGGGCTGCCAGCTGTGGGCGGTGTGGCTACGATGAGATCTGCAGACTCTGTGGAGAGTCTGCGGTTGCTGTGGTGATGGTGACTTCTCTCCTGGAAAGGAGAGATGCTCATCCTCCCAGTAACTGTAGGAACCACCAGATGGAGGTATCCTTTGTCCCTGAGTCCGCATCTGTAGGCAGGTTCACATCAGAGGTGCGGTTGTGACACAATAAAGTGGTGCGTGGCCAGGGCACGCCCTGGCACCCTGTATGGTGACATGATTCACAGCTTGTTAAGCCACTGAGGACTTTTGTTACTTATGAAAGGGAAGGTGATGGAAACACCATAAGAAATTGGTTCTGAGAAATCTTTCCAGATTTTTAGTAACCACTGGATTTGAAAGTGAGTGATAGTTTTACTCATCTGGTCCTGATGACAAATAGGTAATTCAGTGCTGACTTAGTTGAAGGTGCTTGGAGCAGTTTTCAGGAGGGCTCTGAGGCTGCATCTGGGCTTGAATGGAAAGATAGGTTGAAAAGGTGAATACTGCTGTGGAGAGAGGGTGAGGAGGGTCAGGCTGGTTCATCCCCTTGGCTAGCCTCCGCGTGCTGGGGAGTACTTCTGGCCCCCCGTTTCTGAGACGGATGCTGAGTGCAGTAGAATAGAGAAGTAAGTCGGAGCTCAGAGTAGGCACATTCCGCTTCCAGCATGTACTGGCTCCATGAATGAGCAGATGCTGGAGCTGGGACCAGAGTGTGCCATGTTCCCGTTTTCCACATTTTTGAGGGCAGGGCAGGACTAGGTCCCAGCTCCTTCACACAGGGGTGTCACTTTCCTATGTGACCCGATTCTTGGTGTGTGCAGAATGCCAGTCAGTACGGAGCCCACCCCTGCTCCCAGCAGGCTTCCATTCTGGGTGGGAGGTACACACACATGTTTGAACAGTGGAGCTTGTATGACAGGTTGGTTGTAAGAAAGTGTGGAAGTGTCTAGTCTGACCCCTGAAACGGGCAGCACGGGTTTGAACACAGAAGCACGTGACTTTGGAATGTCCACCTTCACGCTTACTCCAGTATATCTGTGTTCACTTGCAAAAGTCCCTTTTTTCTTGACTTTTCCTACAAGGTAAGATTACGACTGCCCCCACTGCCCACCACCAATTTTCCTCTCGTTTTTGGTGTCACTAGGATGGAATATTTGGACTAGTTAAAGAGTTTTGTTTCTTTTTAAATGTCAAGGTGAAAATGATCCATTAATAGAAAACATACGTCATGCAGATTTTTAAGCTGAACATTATCCAGTCACGACATTTATTTCTAGAGGGATTATTTATAGCATTTTAAAAGTAAGTAAAAGTCACAGAAAAGCCTTTGTATTGTAATAATCAGTGCATTTTGGAAACCTTTATCCTCAGTAATCAGCAGTCTGTGCTTAGATAGAAGTAGGAAAAGTACACACTTTCCTCGAGCATCGTTTTTGTGTAGAGAAGTTGGTCAGTTTAACAGAACATCTGCGAGCCTGGGCTCTGGGTTCTGCTCTTAGGGCTGATATCTCCTCCTTGACTTGTCAGCTTCAATATGGGATTTGATTCCTCATCTGTAAAACGGGGGTGATTATTACCTGTATCCCTTATACAGCTGCCCCAAGATTAAGGGGCTCTTTCAGATGGAGCCCTTAGGTCAGTGTTCACCTATTGTTGGTGTTAATACTCTTAGCGTAGTTACTGGTGAGACTCAGCTTCACTTTAGTGTGTAATATAATTGTAAGCAGTGCTGGTTAATAGTTTATATATATTTTTTTCCATACAGGTTGAATGTAATTTTTACGAAATTTGATGAAGTCCAGAAATCTGGAAACATGATACAATCTGCAAATGGTGAGTAGAAAAAGCAATCATTCTACTTGTGCTTTCTCAGTTCACTTTTAGCCTAAGTGATACTTACGCTCGATGCTATTTCTGAAAGCTGGGTTTGATGTCTGGATAAGGGTCCAGGTCTTGAGCGTTAGTTTCCATTCTCCACTCTCCCCAGCTGGAAATGGTGCAGTTGTCGTCGACTTTCTTTCATAACCTACACTGAATCCATTAGCTAATCCTGTTGGCTTTATTGTTAAAAATACATCTAGATTTTAGGGCTCACAGTGTGGCAGCCGCTCTGCACCCAGTTGGGCCAGCAGGTGTTTGCCTGCACCCTAGTGGCCCCCAGCCAGAACTCTCGTTGAGTTCTCTCTTGCACCTGGGGTCTGTTTTTTACACAGCAGCTCTGGCACCTGGGATCTGTTTTTACACAGCGATCAGAGCGTAGCTCAGCAGTGTTAATCCTTGTCCTCAGAACCCTCTGGAGGCCTCCGATCCCACGGCTCACTGAGCCCCACCCGGCCCTGCGGTCTGATGCAGGCCACTGCTCTGAGGTCGCCTTGTGTTGCTCTTCCCCAGGTTCTCTGGGCCAGTTTTCAACATTCTGAGCTGCTCTTGCTTCAGGGCCTCTGTGCTTATGCCTCCTTCTGCTTGAGACATCTGTCCTCTGGGCATCATGACACGTCGCCCTGGTTCCACCCAGTCTTTGCTGCAGGAGCAGATCACTACGAGGGCCGTCAGGAAGAGCACATCCAGTGTCCTGGGTTCTCTCTGCCCTGCCCCGCCTTGTTTTCCTTATTCATGTATATTACTACAAAAACATTTTTTGTTTATTCCTGAGGGCAAGACCTTTGTTTCATTCTCTTCTTTATCCTTAGTGGCTCAGAGAGTCCCTGGTATGTGGTAAGTATGTAATAAATATTGTTGAATAAATAGACAAAATGATGACAGCCTTTGGGCAAAGGTTCTGCTCAGCTGAAGGCTGCCTTTGTGATTAGTGTCGTGTGTCCACAGTTGTGTTTCCAGGCTGAGCTGACGAGTGTCTGTTCAGACCCCCTCTGATGAAGGTGCGCAGTCTGTCCACAGCGGAGGGGCTTGACAGGCGTCCGTTTAATACGTGGTGGCCGTGTGGCAGCGTGATGGCTCACACTGGAGTGTGGGTGCCCGCTCCCCCACAGAAAGCGTGGATGGTGTCAGAGGCTAAAGGGGCGGCTGTGAGACTTGGGACCGCCATTCCTCTCTCGCCGCCACGCTGGCCCTGTGACTTGGCATGAGCTGTGTAACCCCTGTGAGAGTCGGTTTGCTCCTTCGTGGAGTGAGCGCCCTTGGAGATGTCGTATGTCGGTGTCTGGGACAGCGCCTGGGACACGGCTGGCGCTCACACCCACAGTCTGTCCTTGCTGCCCCGTTGCGTGGCCCACTCCACCTGTTAAGTAAAAATGTCGCTTGAGAGTGACTCTTGTACTGTGCACTTGGGTTTTTGTTTAGAGGTTTGACTTAATTTGGAGTACACATTTAAAACTGAATGTACATTTTCTTTAGCAATAATGCTCTTTTTTAAAAAACTGTTTTTAAGGTATAATTAATACACTGTATAACCCTCTGCTTAAAATATATAATTCAGTCATTTTTAGTACATTTACAAGTACAACCATTACTACAGTCGATTGTGGGACATTTTCAACACCACAGAAGAGAAACCCAGTGTTCTTGAGCTGTCACCTCCCCACCTCCTGAACCACCCCCTCCGCCACCCCACTGCCCAAATCTCCTTTCTCTATTAATTTGCCTCTTCTGCACATTTCATGTAAGTGGAACCAGACCATGTTCTTCTGTCTGGCTTGTTTCCTGAAACAAGTTCTCAAGGTTGGTCCAGGCTGCCACGTGCATCATGGCTTCATCCCTTTTGTGGTTGAATAGTAACATCCCATCGTGTGGACAGACCACGTTTTGCTTATCCGGTCCATTCTTCCACTCATGAGCACTGGACTGTTTCTGCCTTTTTGGTATCGTGAATAGCGCTGAACACTGGTTTACGTGTTTTTGTTGAATGCTGTTTTCAGTTCTTTTGAGAGCTGACCTAGAAGTAGAATTGCTGGATCATACGGTAATTCTGTGGGAAGAATTAGTCTTTTTTCTGAGGTCCTGTCCAACTGCTTCCCATGGTGGTTTCCCCACTTCATATTTCTACCGGCAAGGTGTGAGGTTCCAGCTTCTCCATATCCTCTCCAACAGAACAAAACAAAACACAAAGTTACTTTTTAAAACTATAGTTACCCTAGTGGGTGTGCAGTGGTATCTCACTGTGATTTTGATTTGCAGTTCCCTCATGACTAGTGACGTTGAGTGTATTTTTCCTATGTTGGTTGGTCCTTTATAGATCTTACTTGGAAAATCTCAAGTCCTTTGCCCATTTTTACATTGGTTGGTCTGTTTGTTGTTGAGCTGGAGGAGTTTTTTATGTATGTTTGGTACAAGACTAATCAGATGCATGATCTGCCCATATTTCCTACCACTCTGGGTTGTCATTTGACTTCCTTGACATCTAAAGGTTTTTAATTTTGGTGAAGCCTAAATTATCTTTTTTGTTGTTGTGGTGGTTATTTGTGAGCAATAATGCTCCTTCGAGTAATAAAGAAAAGCTCTGGATTTGAGTTAAGTTGAAAGAAACCATTACTGTAAAGGCAGGTTTTGTACTGAGTTATATTTCTTGACATGTGCAAAATTATGTCCTGAGATGTGTAATTGGATATAAATTCCAATGACGTAATTATTTTTAAAGTGTGAGAATTCTGATTAAAACAGCAAAGGAAAAGCATCTAAGTAGCCACTGGAAAGGAGCGTCCTATCTGTAACAGAATGCTTCATCTTTATATGATTCTTTTTTGTTGCTAGGTTACCCGACGGCCCTTCAGCTTTGAATGGCAAGAATATGAGAGTTAAGAATATGTTGTTTCTTTTTTTTCCATCTCCATATAATTAGCAAACCCCTTGAAGCAAAAATTACAGTTTTTCCTTCTATGGGTTTCAAAAAGCAAATTATTTTCCGTGTACGTTTTTAAAAACGATGCAGATGTGCCTGTGCTTGTGGGAGAATTGGATTTTCAGCGTGAAAGAGCCCATAATTATAGACTTGTCTTTGTCCTTTATCCATAGCCGCTTAATGACCTTTAATTGGATGTGATTGAAATGAGGCGCATGGATATTAATTTGGTTAAAAATGTGCGTGCTTTGGAGTTTCTTAAGCAAAGCTCACGTTTATGAGGAAAGAATGAAAGTATCATGCCGGTTAAATCTATGAAAATTTCGTAATAAATCTGTAGCTAAAGAAAAAGTACTTATTTGCTGGCAAAACCATAGGCTAGATGACAGATAATCATAAAATTACTGGCTCTTATCCATAACTGTTATCTAGGATATCATTTTGCTGCAGAATGCGGCCTGCCTTATGTTCTTTTACTAAGAAATTACATAATTTGAAAAATGTTAGGTATCATTTAAGTTGTTGGAAATGAGAAATGCAAGTCTGAAAACAAATAGACGGATGATGAATTGTCAGGTTAAGATCTGAACTGTCGCCCAGTGTAGCTGGGACAGAGCATTCATTCATTTAAAAGGAAACTGACTGCCATTATGATCTTGTGTATTCTTTAAAAACAATGACTGAGTAAGTGGATCGGATGCTGGAAAAAGGTTCCCACCCCCTCCCCCACTTGTTTATTCGACTCTGCATATTGCACGGTTTGAGATTCTGGTTCTGTGTATCTGAGAAGAGTGTTTCCATAGTCACGGCTGCAGAGACTATGTGTTACAAGACTGGCAAGGGTGCGGTGCTGAGACCACCAGCACCCAAAACAGCCCAGAGGAGGCTGTTTCTGATGCCAGCTTAACTTCAGCATCTTTGTGGAAATAAGAGAGCCTTTTAACTTTATTCATATTTTAAGTTTCTGTTAAGAACATTCCCTGTTGTCCCAGGGGAAAATCAGATAGTTGGTTAAAGAAAATTTTAATACCAGTTTTGAAGAAGGCTCTCTTAATGTGAGTAACGTCAGATGGAGAAGGGTCACCCCCCACCACCACCCATTAAACACATCACTGTTCTGTATAGTCTAGACTTTTATCTTGGAATAGGGTGGCAGTTGTCACTGGTGCTTGGATCGCACTGGAGAAGTCGTGTGGGTGGAGAGTTCGCTGATGCTTAAGTTGCTGTGAGGAGGTATAGCTTTCAGAGCAGTGTTTTTATTTGTACTGAGATCACTGACAGCCATGACCGCTGGAAAAGGTAGGCTATTACAATATATTCTGAAAAGTTTGTAATTATTGGATATAAAATAATTAAGATGTAAGTGCTTTAGTAACTAAAAATAGTGTGTGAAACTTAGGAAAATAATTGTTATGAATGTTGGCATTTAGGCAGGGAAAAATTGTGTACCTACAGCTTTATTAACATTAATGTTGACCTTCACGGTCTAGGAGAAGGGAAGTGGGCACAGTGAACTCAGGGTAGCTATGTTTTCATCAGCCTCTGTTATTTTATGTGCTTTTAATCTTTTTCTGCCATCTTGAATTCACAGCATGTGAATCATGAAAAGAAATTATTTTGCAGTTACAAGACATTTGTTAGTATAGGCTGTCTGGAAAGGAATCTACCAGCTAGAAATTTCTAAGACTTCCCAATAGTGGGTAGAGAAAAAAACACATAAAGCACAGTACAGCAGGGATGCTGTTTCTGTCTCAAGAATGAATCATTGTATAAAAATTTTCCCTTTTTAAAGATTTGGATTTTTAAATGCAAAAATGAACCTGGAAACTAGGAAAGAAGTATTGTTTCTCAAAAGTATGACTGATTCCCGTGGGATTTTTACTCCGGTTTTGGCGCATTGAAATGGTTTGAAAGGGCTGGGTATAAACAAGGTCTTTTTGCAGGAGGGGTGCTGTCGCAGCAGTGAGAACAACCTGTCTCATGGCCTTGCTTTCCCAGGGGCAGCCTTTTCATTTGTGGTCTTTGAACGGTATTTCCA